ACACCTATTCTCTCCTTCTATCTTTCCAGTAACCACCTACAATGGCTCCTACCTGACGATTACTAAAGTCCAACGCCTTAATATGGGTGCATATTTATGCATCGCTTCGAATGGAATTCCGCCAACGGTCAGCAAGAGAGTAATGTTGATTGTGCACTGTAAGTATATATRTRTACTTGCTTAAGGAAAGGCTATGAAGCTAACATTGTAATTGCTTCATTATACATTAAATAGAAWATATRAAGTTTGTCACGAAGTTTGTAATATCCAGAAGGAAATAAAACGTCAAAAATAAATACATATATAAATGATAAGCATGACGAGCCGAGTAGATTTCTTTGTCTGTATGTCTTTCCGTCTATATATACTTGAGTTAGTCCCACAATTTTCGAAATTTCGATATGAAATTGTTCACAAGTCCTTTTTTTCCTCACAAAGATGCTCATTAGTAGCACCATCATAACACAAAATTGTAAGGAATCTTTCGTATTTGCGAAATATGTTATTGCTTCGGTGTAACAGACGACAACGCTTTTTTTACTCTTGCAACATGTTGCTACAGAGACATAGGTTTATACTATATGTATAGCAATTATCAGGACGATGAGACGACTTGAGATCCACAAAAGCTTTTGCTCATGTAAACTTATCTTCCAACAATTAGCATACATTAAGATTCTCAACATTACCATTTGAACAACTACATCATATTCATTTAAAAGCCACACAACTAGTGAAAGGCTAGCTTTACTGAGAGCAAACAGTTCACTAAACTTCTGCCTCTTCTAGAAACTGCTCATCTACGGCGTCACTGATATCGGGTCATGAAGCGGCCATACAAACTAATCGACCAGAGTCAAATTCTTCGGAAAACTCGGTACAGATTATTTTCGAAATTATTTCAGGTGTAAAGTTATTTTTGTATAGCAACATGATTAGAAAAAGATAAAATAACGTGTACCATTAAATGGAGACTTTTGACTGRACTTATTATATTTAGTTTCGTTCTCAGATTTAATTAAAATACTTATACACTATATAATCCCTCTGACTGTTTTTTCTTTCTTATAGTTCCGCCAATGATTTGGATACAAAATCAGCTAGTCGGCGCTGCTACCGGCCAAAACATAGCACTTGAGTGTCAGTCAGAGGCGTATCCGAAGTCTATCAATTACTGGACGAAAAATGACACGATCATTGTGCCGGGTAAGTTAAAGGAAAACAATTTTCTAAATATTTTTTTAAATACTTAAATATCATTGCTTTTCAACTAACTTAAATTAAGGTAACTAAATACTGTTTTTTAAGCTAAGTGCTCTGTAAAAAACATTTTGGCAAATAGTAGTTTAGTATAGAAACAGAAAGTGCAACGGACGTTTCATTAACTTCTTGTCAGTCATTTTTTAACCGCATGTTGAACATATGTGAGTTCAACAGCACACACATATGTACATATACATATGTATGTATATTCCAACAGAAAATCATTGCTATTAAAGCGAGTAAGCTTGGACAAACAGTCAGTGAATCTTTATTAGGATGGATGAAGGGTCACCAAAAAGTAACACAGCGATACTATGGATGAGAAATGTACGAGTGCTGTAATTGCTTCGAGAGAAGCAGAAAGGACACAGTCCATCCGCTCTGAACGCCTGCACATTGCATTTCCATCGAGTTGTTTACGTAAATAAAAGTGTAATGTCCGCAAATGTATATAAATACAAAGCTACATATATGTGCAAAAGAGATGACAAATACATCAAATGACAAAACCGTAAATGGTTGAATGTGGAATACTTTTCAGGATTGAGTTAATTTCTCATATACCCCAAGTGACATGCAAATGACATAAAGGACTGAAGGAGATAATATAAAATCTTAATATTTTGAAGAAAAAAAGATATTTTAAAAGAACATTCGGCTTTGCGTCGCATATAGTAGCAATCGGGTATCCCACGCAATATATGCTGCTATTCACCAACGTGCTGATAAAAATAATACCACAAGCGAATTACCTTCAGATTTAAAATAGGCCTCAATGTAGACGATTTATTACCAGCGGCTATACTAATGAGTTCCCAGGATAACACAAAATTAGTATTGGCTATCTTTGACATGTACTGCGGATCCGTTGGCGATTTGAAGCTCAACTCATGCAATTTTCAGCCAAAAACCTGCTGTGGACTTTACAGACTTTTTCGTCCATAACAGCCTATTTTAACAGAATATTTGCATTCAATTCTAAAACCGGCCTTACTTACCCGACTTTAACAATCCGCCAAAATTTCAAAATGAAGTATAGATCCCACTTCAGATTCATAGAAAATAGCTAGCAATTTCCAATTGTTATAATAAGTATATACCTACCACTGTGATTAAAAAGGAATTTGGTGAATAAAAGTTCCTTCGGAAAAATAAATAAATAATTTTAAATTTACAAACCAATTCACTTTACTTTTTATCATAATAGCATATATACAGTGTTTGTCCGGAAAGTAATAATACTGATTTTCTTTCCCGCGACTGGTAGAAAGTCAGGACAAACATTTTCGCGCGACGTGTTTGTGTGGGTGGTGCAATCCGGTGTGTTTCGGTGGCACCAGGCCTTTTTGTGGGGCCGGCGAGAGGTCGCTGATAAAGACCTTGCAATGTGACTTATGTGCGTAAAGTTTTGAACTAAGACCGTCGACTAAGTATTCATTCACTGACGGCCAGATATTGCGGCGAGTGGAAATATGCCAAGAAAATTTTAACATTTGTGAAAGTGACCACCAAATTTTTTTCAAATCGACTCAGTCCTATTACTTTCCGGACAAACCCTGTATATGAACAAGAATTAAATATACTGCAATTTGCAAAGAGTGGGAGTAAGTATATTCTTAAATCTACATATAAATATATATACACATCAAGTTAGTATTCGTACATACTAATGCAAATAAAGCCTGTCAGGAGAATGTCAATTTCCTCGTTTACTTTGCTATTTATGTTAGCGAGATCCAAAAACTAAACTATCAAATTTAGATAGCAAAACGTAGTACTGTGGCCAAATAATAGTATCACCTCTTTATTTAGAATTCATTTGTCGAGATTTTTTTTTTTTCTTTTTGGCTAGCTTGATTGTCAGTGATATCTATGCCAATTATGACATCAAACTAATAATTAATCTTTAGGAGACTTGAAGTACATTCGTG